AGAACTGGAAATTACTACGGCATTCAGAAATTCTATTACAAAAACGTTAGATGGGAGATACGAGGTGTACTTACCTTGGAAGGAGTACGGATAAGGAGAGAGAATTAGCTGAGAAGCGCCTAATAAGTACCACTAAACGATTGTTGACCACTGATAACTTTAAAACTTACAACGATGTTTTTCAGGATTGGTTGAGTAAAGGAATAATAGAAGAGGTACCACACGACGATGGCAGAGGACATTATCTCGCTCACCATGCTGTTATTAAAAATTCTAGCACTACTACAAAAGTAAGACCCGTATTCGATGCGTCAGCTAGTGACAAAACTGGAAACTGTTTAAATAACTGCTTAGAGAAAGGTATAAATTTTTTAGAATTAATTCCAAAGCTGCTTATACAGTTTCGTATGAACGCTATCGGCATAACCGCTGACATTGAGAAAGCTTTCCTACAAATATCCCTGAAACAAGAAGAGAGAGATTATTTAAAGTTTCTATGGTGGGAGAAAAACGAAACAAAGTCCATTATAATTTACCGGCACTGCAGAGTAGTATTTGGATTGACGTGTAGTCCGTTTCTCCTGGCTGCGACTATAATATACCATTTGTCGCATTGTTCAGAAGAATTAAAGACAACTGCGCAGAGGCTGCTTCAGTCATATTACGTGGATAATTGCGTAATTAGTCTGGAAGAAAGCGAAGTAGAAAGGTTTGTAAAAGAATCAAAGCAGTTAATGGATGCCGGAAAATTTAATTTAAGAGAATGGGTTGTAACACCTTCGAAATTGTTTATACCAGAAAAGAAAACAGTTCCTGTATTAGGAGTATTATGGGATACTGAAAGCGACAGTATTTTCTGCAATAATACAATAGCTCCTACAATCACGAAAAAGCTAACAAAGAGAGTTCTTCTGTCAATCGCTCAAAAAATATTTGATCCCATTGGACACACATCACCGGCAACCATAATTCCGAAGTTGTTATTACAAGAAGCTTGGATCAATCATGGCAACGGTTGGGATGACGAACTACCAGAGGAGATCACGACAAAATTTAAACAATGGTTAGAACACATTCATTTATTAAGTTCATGTCGAATACCAAGACGGTTAACTCTTGGACCTATAGCAACTAGCAAGATAAGTTTACATATATTTTGTGATGCAAGTATAAAATCCTATGCATCATGTGTATTCTTACGCTCGAAACATGCAAAGGGTGCTGCTGTACAACTAACACTAGCGAAAACACGAGTTGCGCCATCCAAACAAAAATTATCAATCCCACGATTAGAGCTAATGGCAGCTCTTATTAGCACACGTTTATGTAATCAAGTCAAAGAAGCACTACGTTTCGACTGTCCCACGTATCTATGGACAGACTCAACTGTGGTCTTGGCATGGATCAGGAACATTCAAGGTCAGTGGCCCGTATTTGTGCAAAATAGAGTGAAAGAAATTAGAAGAAATTCTGACATCAAGTCATGGCGTTTTGTTCCGGGCACACTGAACCCTGCAGACCTTCCGTCAAGGGGATGTGATCCTAAAATGTTGTTAGAGTCCCGCTGGTGGGAAGGACCACAGTGGTTGAAATTAAGTGAAGATCAATGGCCGCAACAGCAGATATCGGCTAGCGACAATGAAGAAGCAGTCCAAGAGGTAGAAAAACCAGTGGTTAACACGGAAATTCTCACAAGCAAATTTACTGATAACCTTTTGTACTTCTCGAAGTATACAAAGCTCCTGAGAATGTTCACCTGGATGTATAGATTTATTAACAATTCATGAAGCGAAATTCGCAGAGGTTCATTATCGTGCGAAGAGTTGAGACATGCCGAACTGAAGTTGTTCAAAATTATCCAATCCGAAAAATACGAAAATGAAAATAATGGAGGCAACTTATCTGTATTTTTAGACGAACACGGCATACTGAGAGTACGAACTAAACTGTTGTTGTCAGCAGAAACTGTCAATTTTAAGACGCCTATATTGCTCCTGGGTAAACATATAATTGTCGAAAGACTAGTCAGAGAAAAACATGTGCAATTGTGCCACGCAGGAGATTATTGGTGTTCGTCGATTAGCAAGGAAAATTGTGTCCGGTTGTGGAAGGTGCAGACGCTATAAAGCCAAACCGTGCATTGTACCAGAGGCTCCTTTGCCTAGATGCAGAACTAACCACCTCGCAGCTGCCTTTGAAACCTGTGGTATTGATTACGCAGGCCCTCTACTTCTGAAATCAAAAGAAAAGGCCTATATTGTCTTGTTCACGTGCGCTGTATATCGGGCCGTTCATTTCGAACTTACCACCTCGTTGTCGACAGAAGCCTTTCTCATGGCACTTCGGAGGTTCGTAGCAAGACGGGGTAGAATATCAACGATTTACACCGATAATGGCACGAATTTCGTGGGCGCTGCACGTCTTTTGAAGCAAGTAGATTGGGACCTCGTACGGTCTTCTACAGATCTTCAGCCCATCAATTGGATATTCAATGCTCCTTCAGCACCCTGGTGGGGCGGGTGGTGGGAAAGATTGGTTCGTTCTTTGAAAGATTTGTTACGGAGAGTACTAGGCAAAGCATCGGTAACGTATGTCGAGATGGAAACCGTTTTGTGCGACTGCGAAGCTGTTATCAATTCAAGACCGTTAACATACGTTACAGAAAACGATACCCTGTCCCCAATCACTCCCAACCATTTCCTTCAGAGTATTCCAAGGAACCAAATTCCCGAATTACACGTCATAGATTCAAAAGGTCTAAATGAAAGAGTTCGTTACACGCGAAAGCTCCGGGAAGATTTATGCCAACGTTTTAAATCTGAATACTTGGCTATGTTGGTACAAAGAGGAAGGACCAGATCGTCTCCCCTCTCAAGACCGGCGATGTGGTGTTGATTGAGACGCCAGAAAAAAGAGTTCATTGGCCTCTAGGAATCATCGAACAGTTGATGACGGGCAGAGATGGTGAGACTAGAGTAGCCAGAGTCCGCACAGAGCGTGGCGAGTTGATTAGGCCGGTTCAGAGGCTATACCCTTTAGAAGTTAGGAGTGTTTAGTATTATTTCCTGTGTTATCTTTTGTTATTTTTTTTTGTCCCTGTGAGGATGTTACGATCTGCAAAGAGAATTTATTATTATTTCGTACCGATGGTTTATAAAAAGTGAAATGTCATTGGTTAAGTTGTCAATAATAAAAAACTGTGACAGCCACATCAGCCTTTTAAATTTTAATCCGAATTAATTTGTAGTTATTGTTAATAATCTTAACAGTTACACTCGCGATAGCAGTAAAATATCTCTAAATATTCTTGGTTCGTATACCGAGGCATAATGAAATTATCACAGTGTATGTCACTAAGTCAAAAGATGCGCACGCCCACTCGCGATTGATATACTTGCGACTGAGCTTTGCATGCAATCAAAGCAAACCACCGCGTGCGGGGAAGAAGGGAGGTGGGCGGAATTCACATCATCAAAGACGCCGCAACCGGCGCTAACGCTGCATGTTTCTTGCCAGCGTGCGGCGCGCCGCCCGCCCGTGCTTGCCGCAAAGTAACATATTATTATGTGTGTGTGTGTATGTGTGACTGTGGCTGTGATTAAATGGGTTCGGAATTTCATGACGTGGGCAAATAAGACACGAAGAGTTCCTTCCTTCACTAAGCTCGTAAGTTATACCGATTTGCTCTGTATGATTTTTCCCAATTTTAAATAAGCCGTTTGTGCTTATGTTTTAATTAAACGAGGCAACTAACATTAACAATAAAAAATAAGTTCTTACACTAACAGACAGGCTTTACCGATTTAAAATCGTGACAGTCATATTAACTTTATAGGATTTTTAATTGCTCTAACATAAGATTTATTTTATTGATTAATTTTACCTGTGCTTTATGAAATAATATTCAAAGGTATTGTGTATCAGTGAATAAATAATTTAAATATAGCATTTAAGACCATTTTATTGTAATGTTTTTAAATAGTGTGGAATCAAAGCGGAGAGTAGGTAAGTCATCTGTGCGTGTAGTAGGTACCTACACAGGCGGCCGCCGGTCGTCACCCCGGCGGAGGCCGGCGCTGATCTCGACTGGAGGCAATGATTAAGTTTCCGTTTTTTTAGGAATGCTTATTTTAAGTTGCTTTATAACTTCTATGTAGACGTGTTTAAAATGAATAATTACTCATAAGGAAGAAATGACAAAAAAATAACCAAATAAAAAATTAAAAAACGAAAAAAAATATTTTAAAAAATCCGAAAAAAATCAGGCATACTCTATTCACGTAACCCAATAATCTCACGAAGTTTCATAGAAACATTCAATTTCACCCTATATAAGACAAAAATTTTCGTGTTAGTTTTTCTTTAAAAATTAAAAAAAAAGGCATGTTGGTTTTTTACAAACACACGAAATAGTATAGAACAGATATGTATGCGATAGTTGAACCATAATTAATTGCTTTATCTTGTTTCTTATAAAAATAGAAACACAATTTATTTAAACCTATCTTTAAGAGCTATTTCTACATTTGCTCTCAAGCTAAAACTCGCTCCAAAAGTGCAACTAATACTCGTATGTGCCGCAACATAATGTACTTATACTAAAATTGGTAAAAACGTCGGTACATTTTTCATTATCGTTATGAACATAGAAAAACATGCAAGAAACTTAAAATTAGATACAAAGCGATCATTAAATGTTGCTATTTAATTATAATTTCTAAGTTGTGGCTGTGTTTACAACCATGTGGCCGCAATGCTTGCTACAGAGGTCACATCAAAATTTGCAACAGGGTTTATTACCGTCCTTTACTTTTTACGTGAAAAAGCATTCCAATTCAGCTTATTATCTTATTTAAAGTTTGTTTTGGTGTGGCGTTCTGTGATGAAATTTTCTCCATAAAAAAATAGAACACTTCACACCCTTTGCCTTTATGTAAAAAGAAAAAAAAACTTTAAATGGAAATTGAGCAGAGAACTGTATTTAAAAAAGTAAACTTTACCTGCTTGAATCCTTTTTTGTATTTTTTATTCATGTAGCAGTAGATGATAGGATTGTAGCAGGAGTGCGACATGGCCAGCCAGTGGCTCGCGAACCACACGTAGGTCATGCCCGGCCATCTCGCCCACTCTTCATCGTTTTCATGTACCGTCCACAGTACCTTCACAAATAAGACAGATATCAACATAACCAAGAAAAAACCTGATAATTGATTTAGTAATGAAGCACCTTGTACTTTTTGTATATAAGCAAAGGCTGCTGAATTTTTGTCCCTGTTTTGTTCTATTGAGTATCGTCAGAAGAAAAGTGTTTTTGGGATTTATGTCCCAAAGTCAAATTTATTTAGCTTATGTATTTCGGTTATAAAATTCTTAATTTAATTAAGATAAAAATTCAAAGGTAATCATATTCAACTACTATATATACTGTTGTAAAGGCGTTTCGAAGTTCGCCAGGTCAGGTAGTTTTGAATAAAAATAAGTGATCCTTACGCGACCTCTTCCATGTCATGTTTGGGAAAGAGATTAGCTTATGGCACACTGACATTTGCTTTAGATTTAAATATACGGCCTAGCCTGTGAAAATTTTGCTTAGATGGGACCGTTAGGTAACGAGGGCCCTCTTCACAAGAATCCTTCTTTTTCAAAATTTATTATGCTCAGATACAAACTATAATATTATTCTATCGTGGATTAACGCGTACTTGAACATTGCTTATTTAGTTACTCTGGGTTTTCTCTGCCTGTTTTCTTAATTCTTTTTCAAATCTTAGATTTAAATACTATTATACCAACTATTTAATACCACTTAACCAACGTGTATTGTATACATTATTACAAACTAAAATTAACATCATTTAATTGTACATAACAGATTTATACAAAACAAAATTGTTAAAAATATCAATGGGTTATAATAATAATGCACATTTTTCTTTATTACTTTCAAGTCTTAAATAATTTCTCTGCAATCGTTGTCTGAACACGAAATATAAATTCTTTTTATACCAGTAAAAGGTTCTCCAGAGATCGACTTTGTTACTACGGATTTTTAGTGGTTTTCTTTAGGATATTCTTTTGTACCTAACTTCATTTGATCAACTCAGAAGTATAGTATAATAAGTTTAGGCTCAAGAGCGTGCGTACACTATCTAGTAGTAGTAAGTAGTAGTTCTCACAGAAAGCATCTTGTATGATTATAATTTTTTATTATTTTTAAAGCATGTAACTGCTTGATGTTTAAATCTAAAGAAAATATAACTAGAAAAAAAATCCACGCGGACCAGGCAGCAGACGGGACTCGAACCCGCACCCTTCGCAATCCGGGCGAATGCACTGACCAATTATGCTACCGCGGCCCTCACGGACCGCGTCGAAATTCTTCTAGCCATTCTTAAGCTGAAAGGCAGTGCCATCTCTTCGCAATATAGGTAACCCACAATGTCAAATGAATACTTTTACAAGTATTAAACAGTTGAAAGAAGAAATAGCAATTATTATAAATTATAATATAATGCGAAGAGATGGCGCTGCCTTGCAGCTTAAGAATGGCTAGAAGAATTTCAACGCGGTCCGTGAGGGCCGCGGTAGCATAATTGGTCAGTGCATTCGCCCGGATTGCGAAGGGTGCGGGTTCGAGTCCCGTCTGCTGCCTGGTCCACGTGTATATTCTTTTTCTAGTTATATTTTCTTTAGATCTTGAATGAATCTCTAGATCAGAAACTAAATTGGACAATAGGCAAAATGCACTATTTTAACGTATGCTTTCATTTTTTTTATGTAGAATAGACCACAAGTAGATTAAAAAAAGGTAAATTTAAAAATCAAAAAACCCGACTGCTTTATTATTGCTTCAAATAAAAACTGAAAAGAAAAAAACAAGTCCAGTAGTCTATAATTCTGTAAAGTAAGGAATGAGCTACTTTAACAGTCGGGACCCATTAGATATTCAAGGATGGATATTTTTTTTTAATAATGGGTCCCGACTGTTAAATTAGCTTTATTTGCATATATAGACTGTTAAATACATACCCTGTCTGCGCGTCGCGCTTCGCGCTCTTGCACTGCGCAGTCGGGTAAAAATAAAACACTATCATTAAGGTCTACTTGCAGCAATTTTGCTAAATTTAGATTCATCTAAAACTAAAAATGTAAAACTGACATTAAAGTTTTGACATTTTTCTATGGGTTAAATCTATTTGTGGATGAGTCGAGATTAAGCAAAGTTGCTGCTAGTGGTTGTGAGTACAAAAAATTGGCTTCAAATTGACAGTTTAAAGGACATTGTTCTGCGTCCATACATAGTTAGCCTAAGAACCAACAATCAAGTAATATTATTTTCTAACCATTAAATGTACACAGAGGTTGCAATTCTGTGACTGGGCGACAAGCGGTATATATGAGAGTAGAACAAGGCTGTATGAGCTATATAGAATCAAAGAATATAACCGGGACCCTGAGTTTATTAACTATGTTAGAAAATATTCCAAATTGTTTAAAAGCATATGTAATACTGCAAAGTCAAATTTTATTAGGGATAAAATTGAAAAATCTAATAATAAAATAAAGACCACTTGGGATGTCATTAAGCGCGAAAGTGGCAAGTGTAAGCCTCGTGAAAATAGCATGATTCTTAAAATCAATAATAATCTAATAAAATCGAAACATGAAGTCGCAGATATTTTCGATAAATTCTTTATGAATATACCATTAGAAACTACTTCCAACTTGGACTCATCGACTGATACTGCTACAGCTCTGTTACAAAAATATGTACCTCCGTGTGGTTTATTATTTAATTTCAAGCACGTTAGTTCTTTTAAAATAATTAAAGTTTTCCATTCTTTAAAAATGAAAAATGCATCTGATTTATGGGGTATATCTGTCAAAGTCATAAATAATATTATACATTCTATAGCCCCTTACCTAGCTGATATTTTTAATTCATGTATTGATCAGGGAGTATTCCCTGATCTTATGAAATTCAGTAAAATCATACCTTTATTTAAGTGTGGAAATTGTAAAGATCCAAGCAACTATAGGCCAATATCTATATTACCAGCATTGAGTAAAATCTTTGAAAAAATAATGTTAGAACAATTGTTGACTCATTTTAACATTAATAAACTTTTACACAGAGCGCAGTACGGTTTCACTAAAAACCGTTCCACGACTGATGCTGGGGCCATTATGCTAAAATATATATTTAATGCTTGGGAAAAGTCGCAGAATGCTCTTGGGGTATTCTGCGATTTATCTAAAGCGTTTGATTGCGTTAATCATCAAACTTTGTTACGGAAATTAAATCATTACGGCATAAAAGATTCCGCTCAAAAATTAGTGCAATCATATTTAACAGAAAGGACACAAATAGTTGATATTAACGGTACAAAATCAGCTGGATCTCATGTGAAAATAGGCGTTCCTCAGGGTTCAATTTTAGGTCCATTTCTTTTTTTAATTTACATTAATGATTTACCTTTCTTTGTAGAAAATTTTTGTGAAATTGTTTTGTTTGCAGATGACACCTCGCTAATTTTTAACGTTGACAGGTGTAAAACAAATTATGACGATGTAAACAATGCACTTTCCAAGGTACTTCACTGGTTCTCTTCTAATAATCTTAAACTGAATGCGAGCAAAACTAAATGTGTGAAATTTACTTTGCCGAATGTAAAGCATGCTGAAATGGGGGATATAATTCTAAATGGTGAAAAACTAATTTTAGTTGATACAACCGTTTTCTTAGGCGTAACACTAGACCACAAACTTCAATGGAACCCTCACATTACAACACTAGCCGGTAAACTAAGTTCTGCTGCTTATGCAATTTATAAAATAAGACGGCTTACAGATGTCAACACTGATGGACAATATACTTCAGCTACTTTCACAGCATTATGTCGTATGGCATTCTATTATGGGGCACGGCCGCTGACATTGAAACAGTTTTTATTCTTCAAAAACGAGCTATAAGAGCTATTTATTGCTTGGGATCTCGAACTTCTCTTAGGGATAAGTTTAAAGAAATAGGTATAATGACTGTTGCCTCTCAATACATTTACAATTGATATTGTTTGTGCGTCAGAACATAAATTTATATACGAGGCGCGATGATGTACATAATTTCAATACCAGAAATAAAGATAAACTCAAATTGCCACCATTGAGACTCCAAAAGGTTCTTGGTTCATTTGTGGGTCAAGGTATATGTTACTATAATAAAATACCAAAAGAAATAATTAATTTACCTTTTAATAAGTTTAAAGTGTGTATAAAAACATGTCTCCTTAAGAAAGGTTACTATACTGTAAAAGATTTCATAAATGATAAGTCACCTTGGGCTTAACATAATAGACTGTCGTTTTACTTTGCTAATTTGGTTGAAAATTGTTTAATCGCCACTTCTAAATTTACAAATAGTACCTAGCTATACTTAACTTTTGTTAATTAATAATATTATTGTGATGGAAGTTGACATCAACACATGTATTCAAATTTTGATGTCATCTTTCAATTGACGACACTGTATGAAACAAAACAGGGAGAATAAAATAGCCCTTGCTGAGTTTCTTGCCGGTTCTTCTCAGTACAAGGTCTCCCGCCGTAGATTTACGAACCGATGGCGTAGCGTTTGACTTTCACAAGAGCTTGTAACAGCCTAGACTGAATAAATGAGTTTGAATTTGAATTTAGGTTCGAAATCGCAAGTAAATGACGGACACTTCTGAGAACTTAAATTATTAGGAAAACTAAATTTTTTTGAGGTTATTTTAATATTCAATGAAACATAGGTCAACCTATGAACCTAGTATGAATTCAGTATGAAGTGAATTAATATTACAACTAAATTCATTTTATTCGGTGCGATTTTAAAGAATAACTATTAGGAAAAACTTGGTTAGGTAGGAATCATGAATAAAATAAAAACAATTATTTATTAATTATTTTTCACATAATTGTATCATATTGTATTTATTTGTATAACACATGTATATTGTGTAAATATGCCACGTGAATGTGTATCAGGTGCTCTTAAATAATTTGGCAGTATGATCCTCTCAGGATGTTGTGGCACAGGTTCACTAGCACTTGGTAATAAGATCTCTCCTCTTTGGTAACATCGATGGCATATTAGATAGCCGAAATAGTAATAATTAAA